AGAGTCAAATCGAGGTTCTAGGAAAGGTCATAAGGGTCAAGTCAAGAAGGTCATAAGGGTCTTGTGACCCTTAGAATATTCATGAGGGCTTCCAAGAAGAGTTAGTCCGAGGAGTAATTTGTGATAACGATGGGACAAAATGGACACTTGATTCAGACATAGGTTATGAGGTTTATAAGGGTCGTGAGGGTCAAACATCATGGAATTGACATATTAATGAAAAATAATTATGCAATCATGAATAATAATTATACAATTGATAACAAATATATCTTATGAACTTTATGACCCTGGCAACCCTCATAAGGGTTCTGGGGGCCAATTTCATGAGATATTTCAAGAAAAGTGCATGCATGAAATTGTCAGTTGCAGTTGATAACAATTTTGAATTTAAATACCGAAAATTGGCAGGATTGATTGGATGAATTTTAATAAGTATATTCACTTTTAATGGAATGATATAAATTATTGCGTGTTCATAATTAATTAAAATCCCCACGAACTAGATCATTTGAAAAGTCGTGTCAGATTTTTCAACCCTTCTCATGTCTCTCCCTCGGCGCAACTCAAGGGACATTATTTATGTATCACATATACTGGCGAAGGAACACAACGTGAAATAGAATTTCCCTCAAGCTCCAGAGAACCGTATGAACAAACGTATTTATTTTTATCGTGAGAGGAGTTCACCTGGGTGTACACCGTTTTCTATGAGAAAAGAAGTTGCGGTTAACTCGGCACTAGCTGAGAGTCAATGCCGCTGTCTTCTCTTGTTGGCCCATTGCGAGTTCCCTCGCTCATCCCCAAATCTTCTTTTTCCACTCTCTTTTTATTCTCCTCAATGCTCGTGGAGGAATGAATACTGTGTACTGTATGAGAGCTCTGATTTTAATGGCTTGTTACGTCGAGTATTTCGTTACTGTGGGAATTATTATTTTGTCTGGGATTTTGGGGACTGTACCAGAATAATTTCATTATCCCTGATGTTCGGGCGAAATTTGTCATTAGTGAATCGATTTTATCTCAAAATTCATGAAGTGCAGTGGGAGTTTACTGTCCCCTGCAACTAGTCATGTTTTTGGAATGAATGAGTTCATTAAAATGCACATTCGTCATGACGAGAACTCCACGAAATATGAAATTACTTGCACACTGAGAGAAAAAATTTGCTCTGCCGAAAAGCAGTACATTCCACGTGAGAATATTTGATAGAGTGGAACAGATTTACTCGAGGGAAATTAACCAACTGGATAGAAGGAAATTTAATATCATTCACAAAAATTAAATTTTTCTCATGATCATCAGATACACTGTTAGAAATTTCTTGAAATTTCAGTTACAATGTCATCTGATTTTTCAATGTTGAGAGTTTGAATTCGATTTCAAATGAAAACGTTCAGAAAATTTCTCATTCATCTTGAAAATTCAAGAAAATTGGATTTTTCATGTTAAAGAATCATTGATTTTTCAATAAAAGCTTGAATTTTCAAACTCATCGTGAAAATTGAACATCACATACAATTGAATTTTCAATTGTTTGAAAATTCAGAGAAGTTACTGCCTGAATTTTCAAAATTTTCAAGGTTTTTCAGTGCCGTATGGACCTGAAAATCGAGAATTACTTGAATATTCAAGAAATTAGCGTCAATGAAGAATTCTACAGAAATTTCATGTAACTTTGTCATTGCTAAAAATTTCAAGCTTTTTCACTTGAAATTTCAAGAGTAATTTTCTAACAGTGTGTATCCCTAGAAGAATTCGAACTGTTGGCAGAAAAAATTTCATATTATACGACAATCATTCGATCATATCATTTCATATTATACGACAATCGTTCGATCTGAGGAAAGTCCATAGGTTTATACCATAGAAAGAATACATTGACGAGGAAAGAATATTTTTTTCCCAAAAAAATTGTCACCTCGAAATTATTTAGTTTTGCCAATAACACAGTCTTCGGCAAGAAAATTGTAGTTTCCCCTTGAAATTATCATTTGTTCCATGTAAATTATCAGTGTTTATTGGACAAATATGTGGACTACTCAATAACATTCACTTGATAAAACCGGAGCCTCATATAATTCTCTGGAGGACGAATGTATTTATCCGAAAGACGTATAAATGTCTCACGAGAACAATTACTACTACGAAAATTATCAAGTTTTGGTGGAAACTTTCTTTTTTGACCACAAGTAAATTGATTCAACGCGACAGAAGATCTCTTCAGGGGAACATTTAATTTTTCGGCAGAACTCATTTTTCCTCTCAGTGTAGTTTTTCTAATAGATACGACACGAATGTAATTATTCCTATAAATATGTTTTTATATTAATTTATTCGTCACTTGATTATAATCTGAACAACTCTAAAGTAAGTGCCACTATTTACCCATAAAAATACTCGTAATGCGATAAAATTGTAGTCGTTCAGGCCGACCCCCGCAGTTTTTCACTATAAAATCCCAAACGATCAGCGTTAAAGCCTAAAATTTCAGTGAATCAATCTTGAATATTCCCTTTACGACCTGTACACCTGGTATACTCTCACTAACTCCCCTTCCGAGGTTTAGTATCACGACAGTCAGCCTCACTCGTCACGCAAATGTGTATACAGACCCCGGGCGACTTCCTGCTATCGTTATGCCGTGTATTTTGTTTGTTAATAATTCGTCGCGGTAGTATGAACGCGATCGTGAAATGCAGCCACCCCTCGCCGACGGAATTCCTAGTGGTTATGGTTCGGTTTGGTGAATACGGTGACGCGAACATCCACACACTGTTTCCGCACGGGGGTGCTTTGTAAAATTGCTGCCTTGGAAATAATGAAAAAAATTATGAAATTGCAATGTTTTTGCAACTCCTCCAGCTATGAGGCGGAGGTTACATCACTCTCAATCAGGGAAATTTTCATATCTCCGAAAAGATAATGAGCTATTGAAAAAAATTATGCACGGGGAGAAATTTTCAGTAAAAGTACGGAACAATTCACGTAATCCGCAATGGAGAATCGCTTTCCGGAATTTCTTATAAGAATGGAAGAGAAGAAATCGGAACCGTTCAGTGAATTCGCAGGTTCATCACCAGAACAAAGTACGAAATTGTCACGTAATTTTTCCCGAAGAATTAAAATCTTAAAGAAACTTATTATGTTTCCAAAATCAAAAATGCTTGAACGTTTGTAATGACACAATTTTCCATTGAATGTCCCGCGTCAATTGATCTGGATGAGTGAAAGAATTTATTAATTTCTCCAAAAGTGCCGCTCGTGATTTGGCGAGTCACTTCGCACCTTACTCAATTGAACTGGCTCTCTTGCTTCCTGACCTTTACCGTGCACGGTTTGTTTACTCATTACTCCTTGTATTTGTTCGTTCAATTGTATTTGGAAGTATTGAGCAAATTATATTTATTTAGTCATTTCACATAATCCTGAGTAGAAATTTCACTCAGTTAGCTTGAGTCTAGATCAGTTTTAGGTCCAATACTGGTCAGAATTTATTGATTACACTTTCGGATCAAGATCTGATGAGATTCTGAATGGAGTATCGGGATCTAATGTGGCAGAGTGCATTGTGATCCTATTTTGGTCAGTCAAATCTCGACTAGATCCGTATCGAATCCGGTACTGCTCAGAAAGATCGGATCCTACAATTTTGACCGGGCATGGATTCAAACAAGCGTTACATTTCTGATCCTAAACTGGTGGAAGTTAGTTTCTACAGGGAAGTCTCTTATTCTATCTTATTCTCTTATTCTATTTGAATTTCCACTCGGGAATAGTGTCTCCCTTTAAGATTTAAGGAACAGATATTTTTATATACAAATTGCGTAATATTAAAAATACAAAATAAGAATTTATTTGGAACTAAAGTATCAAAAACAAACTAGAATATTGTGACCTCCTCATTTGGAATATTCAAATAAATAACTAAGGTAAATGATATCATGTCCAATTCATCTGATTTCACGAAATAAAATAGTAATTAAATAAATGAATACATAAAACATCACACGTTCAACAATTTTTATGAAGCTAGTTGAGTCAATAGTTGAGAAAAAATTACGGAAGAACTTGTTGTCCCCACAGCAGTGAGTCATCAGACGAAAGGTTAATTTTTACGAAAGAAATCGTAGAATTTACGTGGCCATTCTTACAATTTCAGTTCTGACTCACACTTTTTATTGAATTTTACTTCGTTCGCGGATTACATTTCGAAACGTATTTTTCTTTTTTTTTTCTGGTAATTTTTATTGAATTTTCCTCTCCGTGTGGGTGATAAATCCAATCTTGCTTGAAAGTACGTATAATTTCAATAGCTCCAACAATCCCACCGAATTCATTTCACCCCCTCCACTCACCGCCAAGAAACCTCCCCTCCATCATAACCCAACCCAAAATAACTAACAGCCGGGGGTCCTCAAGCCACTTGATTTCTACCTAATAAAACGTTACGAGAGACATAAAGTGATGCGATGATACATCACACTGGATAAAAGTGAGAGCCACACGGGCAAGAGCCCGAGCCGGCTGCAGAGACCAGGGAGAAACATTGTGAGAAAACGTGGGAGACAAACAGCAGGAAAAAAAACAACCTAAGAAGTCTCGTGTGCACCGAGAGGGATGCAGGGCCACGCGGGTGACGGGTCGGAGTGAGCCGGCGATTCTGTTACCTACGCGCAGGCGCATCAGACGCCCTCCCCCCTTCCTCCACCCATGACGACGGGTAGCACCCTCCCACGGGGTTGAGAGTGTTACTCTCTTTGGGAGAACGCGCCGTGTCGAGATATCCAGTAGTTGACTTGTGCGGGTCGTGGTACGATCATCAGTTCTCCGGGTGATAGTGCCTAGAAATCGCAGATATTCGTCTAGTAAATCGGTGACAGGTACGACAAATCGACGATCATTTGACAGCAAGTGAATATTTCCCGACAATCTTTCAGTTCATCCCCTATATTTTAGTCTATTGTAAATAGACTAAACGCCCTCGTGTGTGATTCTGTGGAAATCAGTGCGATGCAATCACTTCCCTCGTAATAGTGTCAGTGTCAAATTGAATTCCTCAACTCATCAGAGTAAAAAGTTGGTCGGTTTAACCCACCGGGAAGAAGTGGAGTACTGAAAGAGACAGGCGTCACGACGAGAATTACATAAAGACCCCGAAAGGAGGAAAGAACATCAGGAAGAGATGCACAAAGGGACGAGCACGGTGAAGCTGTAATCTTTCGCATCTCGCTGTAGTCGAGGGATAATTATTTTTAAACCAAAGTGGTACGGAATTGTTATTTTCATCTGTGCTTTATGCCCTGAGATGTTTTTACCTGAGTTGATTGTTGTTTGAATGAATGAAAAGTGATTAAATGCCAGGCACTGAATCACTTTGTGACGCTGTTACAGTTGGCTTGCTGTAATACCCCCATCATACCACCCTGGACTCGTCATCAGTTATGTTTGAATAGTCAAATCGCTTGACATCGACCAACTACTCAAACCCTCATAACCCCGAATCCCTGCTAATTTCAAGGTTTGCACAGAGGTTTGAGCAAATTTGACATTGCTGCGTGACAGAAGGTCTGGTCGTAGCGACGGGATAGTTTCCCCAATGAAGCTTGACTTCAAACGTTTCGATGTCAATCATCGTCCGGTCGAAAAACGTCTGCAGATTTCAAAGTGTCACCGGGATGAAGTCCTTCAAGACCAAAATAAACATCGAAATGCTCGCCTTCGAAGGCTTCTCCGGAGAGATTAAGAAGCGATGTTAGAGGGGATCGAGAGAACCGGAGAATTTATCGTGATAATTTATTTGCCTATGTACGAGTACAACGTGAGACAGGGATTGATGAGCCAGGGTGTGGGGTGTACACTGGGTTCAATTGATTCGACTTTAACGAGCTGTGCCCCGCGAGAATCCAGGCGCCTCTGATAATCATTGGTATACCTTGCTTAATTGAAACCCCTCCCTCTGTTTCGCCGGTGAGTTGATGAGTCGTTCTTCTGCATCGGGCGTTCAGGACGAAATATTAGGATTATCTCATTGAAAATGATGTAGTTCTGGTGATGATCCTTTTGACTGTTGATCAATGATGAAATGTAACCCTTGAGGCATCCCTTCAGAAATTTGATTAACCATGCTTCGTTGTGGGATAGAAGTCCTTGGTTAAGCTTACTCTTCTTGAGAAGGCCTCAACCAGATCGAGAAAACATTTTTCATAATTATATATGATAATCGTTTGTGTACGTTGATCAATTGAAATCCCTCCCTCTGTTTCACCGGTTGATGAATCCGTCTTCTGCATCTAGCGTTCAGAATCGAATCCTAGGGTTATCTCATCAAAAATGATGTAGCTATGGTATTGATCCTTTTGACTGTTGATCAATGGCGAAATGTAACGTTTGAGGCACTCCTTCCGAAATTTGATTAGCCAAGTTTCGTTGTGGGATAGAAGTTCTTGGTTGAGGTAACTCTTCTTGAGAAGGCATCAACCAAATCAAGAAAACATTTTTTCATAATCATATCTGACAATCGTTGGTGTACCTTGCTCAACTGAAACCTTTCCTCTGTTTGGCCTGTGAGTTGATGAATCCGTCTTCTGCATCTGGCGTTCCGAACTGCATCCTAGAGTTATCTCATCGAAAATGATATAGTTATGGTAATGAACATTTTGACTGTTGATCAACGGTGAAATGTAACGCTTGAGGCATTTCTTCAGAAATTTGATTAGCCATGCTTCGTTATGGGATAGAAGTTATTGATTTCTGTAATTCTTATCGGCAGGAGTTCACGCTCTTGTCACATATTTCACGTTAGTATATACCTGGTTTAAGTACAGTCCCTACTCTCCCATATTGTCGGTATACAGTTTTCTTCTTTTTACTTGTTGCATCTCGTGCCACTTGCCCTAGTATGATGGTGACGGAACAGATTTACGTTTTACACGTTTTATACCTTTTGATATATACCAGCACGTGGCTTTAGCTTCTTTTTATGAGCCTACACTGGCCCTTTCATGTTACGATCAATGAAAAACAAGAAACATTACCTTTTTTTATGTTGAGTTCAGGCTGTTTGCCTGCTTGTGATTTATGGTAGGTAACAGGTATCCTCCAGATCGCCACCAGTGATGATGCTTCTGGTGAATGTCAGTCAAAAATCAGTAAATGCTATCAATTTAATACCCCAGTCGTCCGATTACTCCGTTTATTCAGCAAACAGTATTCCATCACCCGAAGATAACTCAGAAAACAATCGGTCTGAATCCGAAACCAATTGGAATTCGATAGAAATTCAATACTATCAGATTCCCGCTTATTCTGACCAGCATCTACCGAATCGCAGCCGTCTAATGGAGGAGACTCAATCCACAGTTCGGTTTCTTGTTCCACGATTGGTCTCACCCCACCACCCCCAGACACCATCCCTAAACCACTTAAACCCTGACAACACTGTTGATCTTGTTGTTGTCTCTCGTGTTGCTGAAGGACGAAGTTTAATATAGACTTTGACTGGAAACCAGATTATTCAATCTAATGTATTTGTCGTCGAGACACTTGTGATCATCAATCACTGCGCGCCTGGGGGTTGGCTCGAGCAGGCTGAGGAAAATGTTGGTTCTTTCGAGTCGAACAAAAAGCTCTCTGGCAATGACAAATTGATACTTGGTTGGAAAATGAAGGAGGATTTTTGATGTTGGTGGGGGGGG